GCCTCTCAAAGTGCTGGAATTACAGGTGTGAGCCACTGCGCCTAGCCAGAGAAAGTTACTTTTACAGAAGAATTTCAGCTAATTCAGAAAGAATGCTAAAATTAGAAAAATTGCAATTTTGCAACTCCTAATGAAGTAGCAGATTCTAGGCAATGAACATCAATAGCTAAAACCATTAGGTGAAAGTTGATGGGAAACTGTATAATGGAAAGGTCAGAATGACATGACAGGAACCCACTAATCAATTGTGACACTGTTAAAGGTGCAACAATAGATACTATATCCTCCTGATATAGCACAATATGTAATACATTACACCAATTATTATATATTCTTGTCAAATGATTTGAATCTAAATCTAAAAAGCCTTTACAGCCAACTTCTATTTTAGAAATATGAGGTTAGGGAAATAAGATAAATAGCACTACAAGGAAGCAATTAGACAAATCATGATTATGTAACAGGACAATTAGTCAATGGTATAAAAAGGGAGGTAGAGGAAATGGCTTTAGATAGAAGGAGACTTAGTGAAATGTAAGAACCACTTATGATGTGTGAACCTTGTTTTGGTCCTGATTTGGAACAAACCAATTGTAAGATATTCTTGAAACAACTGGTCAAATTTAAATGTAAACTGGATATTAGATAATACCAAGGAATTATTGTTACTTTTGTAGAAGGCATTCTGATTATATAAGAAAAATGTGCATAATTTTTAGAGGTTGATACCAAAGTATGTACGGATAAAATAATAGAATATCCAGGATTTGCTTTAAAATATTTCAGAAAAAAACACTGATGATGCAGGTATGGAAAAATATTGTAACACTGAACCCAAGTGATAAATATATGAAGGTGCATTGTATTATTCCCTTTACTTTTGGGTATATTTGAAAAGTTTTATTATAACGTGTTTAATGTTACATGGGATAATACGAGAAATAAAGATGCATATGTGAGATATTCTATTGAACTTTGAAAAAAATGTAGTATCCTTTTTAATAAAAAAAAAAAATCTATGAATATAGAACTATTTTCTTTAAAAGTTATCATGCAAATTTGTACCTGAGATTCCTTAGTTAAATTTAACTAAAACTTACTTGGGTTTCAGTCTGCAATTGTCCAATTAATGAGAGAGTCTTAACAGCAATAAAACAGACCTGTAATTTCAAACAAAAGAAAAGTTACCAAAAATTCTGTGTGGCATAAAATTATTTCTCTTTTTGACTTACTGATTGAAAAACTTCAGCAGCTTTTAAAGGTTGGTGTAAAATGTGATTTCCAAGCTTAGCATCTAATTCAACAACATCAGATGGATTTATTAAAATTTTGAATCGATAGACAGCATAGCTTTGTTTTGAATCTGTAAAAATACACAAATGTAAAAGTCAGGATAGTTATGTGTAGGAGTTTATCTGAAACTTTAAAAAATAACCCACCGTTGCTGAACGTACCATTGTAGTACTTGCAATCATCTATAAACTTTTGGAGGCCTCCACTTCTATCAAGATAGATGAGGGCCGCCTCTTTCATTTTTAGATTTGACATTTTCTCCTGGTTAATGACTCTTCTCTATTTCTAACTGATTAAACCACAATTGTTGGTAAAATCTACAGATGGCAAAACTCATATAAACGATGTGAAAACCTAGAAATAAAATTAATTTTATTTTTGAAAATCTCTAATAAGACTTTACAAATTATTAAAGTTGAGAGCGAACTAAAACTAAGTAAAATTTCCAACTTAAAAAAAATTCCTACCCAAAGGGAAGCAAAACTTTTGTTTTCTTTTGCTATTATAGCTTTTTTTTTGAAATGGAGTCTCGTTCTGTTGCCCAGGCTGGAGTGCAGTGGCACTATCTCAGCTCACTGCAACCTCCACCTCCCGGTTCAAACGATGCTCCTGCCTCAGCCTACTGAGTTCTGGGATAACAGGCCCGTGTCACCCGGCCTGGCGAATTTTTGTATTTTTAGTAGAGACAGGGTTTCACCATGTTGGCCAGTTTGGTCTCGAACTCCTGACCTCAAGTGATCCACCTGCCTCAGCCTCTCAAAGTGCTGGGATTATAGGCGTGAGCCACCACACCTGGCCTCATTACCAAATATTTATTTGGCACCTACTATAGGTTGGACACTAGATTGTCCTAGGCACTAAAAACACAAAGATGAGTAAAACATGGTCTCGATTCTTCAGGAAGAGTGCAGTGAGAGAAGATATATATGTAAACAATTACATGGCAATTTAAGTGCTGTAATAGAAATATGAATATACTAGGTAGCATGAAAGGAACAACATACATGAAATATTTCACAAAATTTGGGGTCATCCTTGTGTATGGGTCATAATATTTTCTATTATTTTAAGACATTTTGATTGAAGACAGTGGGGTCATAGACAAGAAGCTATGAGTTCTACTTTAAGGTGACATTTGATAGATAACTATTTCACTAATTGGAGGAGAGGTGAAGAGAAGGAGAAAGTGTTCCAGAGATAGAGGTGGTCACCTCTCACCCCCATTATGAGTTTTACACTACTGGATCCACACATCCACTACGTGGAGTTCAGGCTACTTTCCAAAGAAAAATAATTGAGACTGTCCTTTTCGATATAAGATAGAAGTGAAACTTTAGCGTTTACTTCTCTGTGGCCATAAGTACAATGATCTCGGCGTCATGTTCAGCACATCACATCTTGCTTCACTAGAACATTAGGTTTCTGGGGTTGAATGAAGGGAGACTATTGATAATTAAATGGTTGGGTGAGGCCAGATTATGTATGCTTTTGAAGTATATGAAGATTATACAGGCAAAAGGAAACCATCTAAGTTTTTTAAAAGGGGAATATTATAGTCATTTTTTTTGAGACAGGGTCTCACTATGCTGCCCAGGTTGGAGTGCAGTGGCATGATCTTGGCTTGCTGCAGCCTCTACCTCCCTTCTCAGCCTGGGACTACAAGCAGGTGCCACCGCACCCAGATAATTTTTAATTTTTTTATGGAGATGGGGTCTTACTGTGTTGCCCAGGCTGGTCTCCAGCTCTTGGCTAGCTGTCTCGTCCTCCCAAAGTGCTGGGATTACAGATATGAGCCCGCCTAGCCCTTAGTGAGATTTTTATTTTAGAAACCAGTGCCTGCTGCCAGTGTGGAAAGCAGGCTGGAATGGCGGGAGAGTTGATGATCAGTTTCTACCTATTGCAATATTCTTACAAGGTGGATGGCCTGATCCTGGGCATGAGGAATGAAATGGAATGGAGAAGATCGATTCTAGAATTTTAAAGATTGCACTGGACCTGGTGATCAGCCTACAATACGGAGAAAAGTAATCGAAAGCTAAGTGGGTTTTTAATATGGGTGTGGGTGGATGCTGCTGCTCTAATGGAAATATGGAGCCCAAGGAGAGGCATAAGGGAATGATAAGGAAAAGTTCCCGTTAGCTATCCTGACTTTGAGGGCTCTTGGGACTCCCTGATAGATATAAGCAAGAGGGGGCCATAAATCAGGGCCTGGAGTTTGGTGGCATCAAAAGAGCTAGAGCTAAGTCTAGGTGTCACTGCGTAAAGCTGAGGCCGTGGGGAGAGGACGCGTTTTCACGGAAGTAGATTAAGTCGGGAAAAGAAACAGAAGCCTGTGGAGAGGCGTTAGGTGAGAGAACAGGGATAAAATTCGAATTCCCTGTCTTCCTTTAGTCTAACGAACGTCGACTGTTGCTTCACGTGGAACAGGCGCAGATTCTGCCTTCTCTCCTTGCCCTGTCAGCACCAGGGATGAACCGGTGAGGGGAAGACGGCAAGAAAACACCTCACAACCAAAGCGGACGAAAGCGAGTCCAGACTCTGAGGACCCCTCCCACCGACAGCGGCGACCTCTCGTAGTGGGACCCCAGCGCTGTAGTGCTTTGCACCCACCCTAACTCCCACGGAGCGCGGCGGTTACCTGGCGCCTGAAGCGTTGGCGGGGCGGAGCCCTAGCACGCATGCGCGCACTTCCCGGCCGTTGGCCGCCCGCGCTGGGCTTGCCGGGACCGCCCGCACCCTCCCGTCAGCAGGGGAACTAGCCGGGCTTGTTCCCCACTGTTTGATTTCTTTATTCTTGCTCTATGCTAGCGAAACAAAGAAAAGATAGGGCTACGTTTGGTTTTCTTGTTATCTCAAGCCAAAGGTGTTGATGTTTGTTTAAAAAATTCAAAACTCCACTTCAGGGAATGCAAAATGTCTAGTCACTTCGGAAAATATTCCAGTATTCCCTGAAAGGACTCAACATAAAGTTACCCTATGATCCAGCAATTCCACTCCTAGGTATTTATAAATACACCCAAGAGAATTGGAAACTTGTTCACATAGAAACTTCTACACTAATGTTCACAGTATTATTCATAGTAGCCCCAAAGTGTAAACAACCTGAATACCCATCACCAATCAATGGATAACTGTGGTGTAGCCATACAAGGGAATAGTCTTTGCCATAAAATGGGATGAGGCACTAATATAGGCTACAACATGGATCAACCTTGCAAACACTATGCAAAGGGAAAGAAGCCAGACACAAACGACTATACATTGTGTGATTCCGTTTATATGAAATGTCCAAGTAGGAGAATCTATAAAGAGAGAAAGCAGATTTGTGGTTGCCCAGAGGTTGGTTGAGAATGCAGAATGATTGCTAATGGGTATGGGATTTCTTCTTCTTTTTAAATTATGGTAAAGTATACATAAAATGTACAATTTTCACCATCCTAAAGTGTACCATTCAGTTATACTCCCTATGTTCACACTGTGCACTCATCACCGCTATCTGGTTTGTAGAACTGTTTTCATTTTTCCAAACGGAAACTCCACACACATTAAACAATAACTCCCCATTCTTCTCTTTCTCATCCCCTGACAACCATCATTCTTTGCCTCCTTGAATTTGACTAGTCTGGGTACTTCATGTAAATAGAATCATACAGTATTTGTCTATTTTTGATAGGCTTATTTCACTTCGACAAACATCAAGTTTCATCCATGTTGTAGCATGTTAGAATTTCCTTCCTTTTCAAGGCTGAATAATATTCCATTGTATGTGTACCATATTTTTTGTTGTTCATGAATTCACACAGGTTTTCTTTTAGAAGTGATGAAAATGATCTAAAATTAATTGTAGTGATAGTTGCACAACTCTGAATCTACTGAAAGCCAGTTAGTTGTACATTTTTAATAGATGAATTGTACAGTACTTGAATTAAATCTTAATTTTAAAGCTGGTCAGGCACGGTGGCTGATGCCTATAATCCCAGCACTTTGGGAGGCCAAGGCAGATGGGTCACTTGAGGTCGGGAATTGGACACCAGCCTGGGCAACATGTTGATACTCCATTTCTACTAAAAATGCTAAAATTAGTCAGGTGTGATGGTGCATGCCTGTAATCCGGCTACTTGGGATTAATGATATTTTGTTAATTAGCAGGCAGGAGAATCACTTGAACCCAGGAGGCAGAGGTTGCAGCTAGTGGAGATTGTGCCATTGCACTCTAGCCTGGGTGATAGAGGGACATTCTATCTCAAAAAAAATAAATAAATAATGAAACTGTTACCAAAAAACCCCAAACCCTTGAATTGTGCCTGCTTCTCCACTGTTGGCATTCTTTTTTTTTTTTTAGACACCGTCTACCTCTATCCCAGGACTGGAGTGCAGTGGCCCAATCAGGGCCCACTGCAATCTCAATCTCCTGGGCTGAAGTGATCCTGTCACCTCAGACTCCCAAGTAGCTGAGACTACAACCATGCCTGGCAAACTTAAAATTTTTTTTTTTAGAGACGGTGGTCTCATTTTGTTTCCCATGCTGGTCTCAAACCCCTGGGTTCAAGCAATTGTCCCACCTTGGGCTCCCAGAGTGCTGGGATTACCAGCATGAGCCACCGTGTCGGTCCTCAACCTTTAGTATTCTTGATGCAGTTAGCAACTCTGCTCCATTGCATTGGGTTGGATCATTTTCCATGAAAAATAATTGAAGTCATCCTTTTTCATATTTAATAGGGGTGGCAAAACACCTCAGAGTTTGTTTCTCTGGGAGAATATAATCTATTTTACTTGTGAGATTAAAGAAAATACTTTTTTGGGGTAGAAATCAATTTACAACAGCAAGGAGGCTGTCCAAATTGTCTTGAACTACAATTCTGTGTTAATAACTACAATTTTAGATGGGAATAGGCTATGATCTAGTAATGGCTATTGTATTTTAAAGTAGCATAAATTTTTCTAGAAGGTATCCATATATTTTAAAGTGTTTTTTTTGAGATGGAGTCTCGTTGTGTTGCCCAGGTTGGAGTGCAGTGGCATGATCTTGGCTCACTGCAAACTCTGCCTCCTGGGTTCAAGCAATTCTTGTGCCTCAGCCTTCCAAGTAGCTGAAATTACAGGCACATGCCACCGTGCCCACCTAATTTTTGTATTTCTAATAGAGATGGGGTTTCACCATGTTGGCCAGGCTGGTCTCGAACACCTGACCTCAGGTTTACCGCCTGCCTCAGCCTCCCAAAGTGCTGGGATTACAGGCGTGAGCCGCCGCACCCAGCTATTTAGTTTTGATTAATCAGTTCATAGCATAACATTGTTCATTTCTGCACCAAAGTAATAGTTTTATATCAACCAAGTCCAGCAAAATCTTCTAATAGATTTTTATGTATTTAATGCATCCTTTAAAATATCTGCATAGTCAGACTTGGTGGTATGCACCTGTAGTCAGCTACTAGAGAGGCCGAAGTGGGAGGTTGCAGTGAGTTATGATTGCACCACTGCACTCTGGCCTAGGTAACAAAGTGAGACTCTTAGAAAAAAACATGTTAGATCTAAAATCGGAATTTAAAAACCTTAAGAATTCAGCATATTTTTACACATTGCAAACCCTCTGAAAATGATAGTGTTATCCAGAGTCAAAATGCCATTGCCACTTATTGCTGCATACTTACAGTACTTTATTTTTACAAAATACTACTAAACAGCAGAAACAAGTTACATGTAATCTGGTAAAATGGCTCAAATATTTCTTTTAAGGTGGTAGAATTATGAATTATTTTTATTTTTGCCTTTCATATAGCTTTTTGCTTTTTAATATTTTTCATTGAGGTATAATTCATATGCAGCAAAATATAGCTCCTACATATTGTCTTAGGAGTTTTTGAGTTTTGAGAAATATGAAGCTTTTTTTATTTAAAATTTTTTTCAAAGCTTTCTTCTAATTTTTAAATTTTATTTTTGCCATGACATGTTTTCATCTGATCATTTAAAAAATTTGTTTTAGACACAGTCTCACTCTGTCACCCAGGCTGGAATGCAGTGGTACCATCTCAGCTCAATGCAGCTTTCATCTCTTGGGTTCAAGCAATCCCCCCGCTTCAGCCTCCACAATAGCTGGGACGACAAGCACATGCCACCATGCCTGACTTAACAGGTATTTTAAAGGATGTATTAAATACATAAAAATCTATTAGAAGATCCTTCTGCCTCAGCCTCCCAAGTAGCTGGGACTATAAATGAGCACCACCACAGCTGGCTTTTTTGTATTTTTTGCAGACGGGGTCTCACCATGTTGCCCTGGCTGGTCTCAAACTCCTGGTCTCAAGTCTGCTTCCCAAAGTACTAGGATTGCAGTCGTAAGCCATCATGCCCGGTCAGCTTTGTAATATATTTTAAAGTCAGGTAATGCGATGCCTCCATCTTCTTTTTTTTTTCTTTTTTGCTTTTTTGATATGGGGTCTTGCTCCATCACCCAGGCTGGAGTGCAGTGGAGTGATCACAGCTCACAGCATGCAACCTTGAACTCCCAGGCTCAAGCACTCCTCCGGCCTTAGCCTCCCAAGTAGATGGGACTACTGGCACATGCCACCATGCCTGGTTAATTTTTAAAAATTTTTTGTAGAAATGGGGTCTCTCTTTGTTGCCCTGGACTCAAGTCATCTTCCTGCCTTGGCCTTCCAAAGTACTTGGGTTACAGGTGTGAGCCACCGTCCCCAGCCAACCTTTGATCTTTTTGCTCAGGGTTTCTTTGGCAATTCAGGCTCTTTTTTGGTTCCATATGAATTTTAGGATTGCTTTTCTAATTCTGATAAGAATTGCATTCAATCTATAGGTTGCTTTGGGCATCATGGTCATTTTAATGATATTAATTCTTCTGATCTATGATCCATGAGATGTTTTTCAATTTGTGTCACCTTCAATTTCTTTCATCAGTGTTTTGTAGTTTTCCCTGTAGAGATTTTCACCCCCTTATTTAAATTTATTTCTAGGTGTTTACTGGTTGTTGCTGCTGCTTTGTTGTTGTTGTAAATGAAACTGCCTTCTTACTTAGCTAGATCATTATTAGCATATAAAAATGCTACTTATTTTTGTATGTTGATTTTGTATCCTGCAATTTTACTGAATTCATTTATCAAACCTAAGAGTTTTGAGGTGGAGTTTTACTTTCTCTTTGTTTTTCCTTGAGACAGGGTCTCACTGTGCAGCTCAGGTTGGAGTGCATTGGTGGTGCAATCAGGGCTCACTCCAGCCTCAGCCTTCTGGGCTTAAGCGATCCTCCCACCTCAGCTTCCCAAGTAGCTGGGCTACAGTTGTGTACCACCATGCCTGGCTAATTTGTGTGTGTATGTGAGTGGTTTTGTTTTTTGTAGAGACAGGGTTTCACCATGTTAGACAGGCTGGTCTTGAACTCCTGGACTCAAGTGATCTGCCTGCCTTTGCCTCCCAAGGTGCTGGCATTACAGACATGGGCCACTGCACTTGGCCAGGTTTTTCTAGATATAGGATCAGGCCAGGCGTGGTGGTTCATGCCTGTAATCCCGACACTTTGGGAAGCTGAGGAGGGAGGACTGATTGAGGTCAGGAGTTCGAGACCAGTCTGGGCAACATAGGAATACCTCATCTATACAAAACATGAAAAAAAGTTAGCCAGGGATGGTGGTGTGTATCGGTAGTCCCAGCTACCTAAGAAGTTAAAGTGGGAGGTCACTTGAGCCTGGGAGATTAAGCTACAGTGAACCATGATTGCAGTACTGCACTCCAGCCTGGGTATCAGGGCAAGACCATGTCTCAAAAGAAAAAAAAATCATCAGTGAAGAGGGTCAATTTAACTTTTTTTTTTTTTTTTTTGAGAGTCTCGCTATCACTCAGGCTGAAGTGTAGTGGCACTATCTCAGCTCACTGTAACTTCTGCCTCCTTCCCAAGTTCAAGCCATTCTCCTGCCTCAGCCTCCCTAGTAGCTGGGATTACAGGCACCTGCCACCTCGTCCAGCTAATTTTTGTATTTTAGTAGAGACGGAGTTTCCCCATGTTGGCCAGGCCGGTCTCAAATTCCTGACCCCAAGCGATCCACCTGCCTCAGTTTCCCAAAGTGCTGGGATTACAGGTGTGAGCCACCACACCTGGCCTAATTTCCTCTTTCCAACCTGGATGCTTTTTCTTTCTTTCTCTTGCCTGATGGCTCTGGCTAGGACTTCCAGAAGAATTATGTCGAATAGAAGTAGTGAAAATGGGCATCCTTGTATTGTTCCAGTTCTTAGAGGGAAGGTTTTCACTTTTTTCCATTCAGTATATTAGTTCTGGATTTATCATATATAACTTTTATTATTTTTAGGTATATTCCTTCTATGCCTTGTTTGTTGAGGTTTTTATAATAAAGGGATGTTGAATTTTGTGAAATGATTTTCCTCCATCTATTGAGATGATCATGTTTTTTCCTTCATTCTGTTGATGTATCATGTTTATTGATTTGCATATGCTGAACTGTCCTTGCATCCCTTACATATACTTGACATAGGATCAAGTATAAATCCCAGTTGATTGTGGTATATTATCATTTTGACTTGGCTGTGAATCCATTCAGCCCTGGGCTTTTCTTTGTTGGGAGACTTTTGGTAATGATTCAGTCTTGCTACTCATTACTGGTCTGTCTGGGTATTCTGTTTCTTCCCAATTCAATCTTGGTAGGTTTTATGTTTCCAGGAATTTACCCACTTTTAGTGGGTAAGTACAGTTGTTCATAATAATCTGATAATCTTTTGTATTTCTGTGGTATCAGTTGTAATGCCTCCTTTTTCATTTCCAATTGTTTATTTGGGTCTTCTCTTATTTTCTTGTAATGTCTCCTTTTACGTTTCCAATTGTTTATTTGGGTCTTCTCCTCTTATTTTCTTGGCTAGTCTAGCTAGCAGTTTATCAATTTTATCTTTTCCAAGAACCAACTTATTTCATTGGTCCGTTATATTGTTTAGTCTATTTCATTTAGTTCTGCCTTTGATCTTTCTGCTCATTTTGTTTGTTCTTGCTTTTTCTAGTTCCTTGAAGTACACTGTTAGATTAATTTGTAACCTTGCTACTTTTTGTCAGGCATTTATTACCATAAACTTCTCTTAGTGCTTCTTTTGCTGCATCCCACAGGTTTTGGTATGTCATGTTTCCATTTTCATCTGTTTCAACATTCTTTTTCCACTTACATCAAAATTTTTTTGTTCACCTAATGGTCAGTCATCCAGGAAAATGTTGTTTAATTTCCGCATATTTACAGTCTCCAAAGTTACTCTTAGTATGGATTTCTGATTTTATTCCATTGTGATCTGAGAAGATACTTGATACATTGATTTTTAAAGATTTGTTGAGGCTTGTTTTGTAGCTTAACATATTATCTATTCTGGAGAATGTTCTATGTGCTGATAAAATGAATGTATATTCTAGAGTTAGAGGAAAGGCTTTCAACTTTTTTCCATTCAGTATATTAGCTCTGCATTTATCATATATGGCTTTTATTATTTTTAGGTATATTCCTTCTATGCCTTGTTTGTTGAGGGTTTTTATAATAAAGGGATGTTGAATTTAACAACATCCCTTTAAATAGAAAATACTTGGACATATACTATACTATATCTACACCATATAGATTTGTATATCTTGTGATCTGAGAAACATCAAAATTCTATTTTTAATTTGTTCTTAAAAATATACAATACTGCACTTTAATTTTTGGCAGCTTAGCTGAGGAATGAATGAGTACAAAAAAAATCATACAAAAAACTACAATTTTTATTGAACAAAAAGTCTCAGAAAAGCCCAGAACTGAATGGATTCACAGCCAAATCAAAATAGTAATATACCACAATCAACTGGGATTTACACTTGATCCTGTATCAATTTTTTCTGTCCAAATATTTTCTGTTCAAATTTTTCCCCCTCATACATATAAATAATTTATATTGTAATGATCATTGTAACATTACCAATTTCAATTTCAAATAATGACAGACATTAGGTGATTTATCTTTTCATTGATTTTATTATACTACATAGATTTATATAACTTGTGATCTGAGAAACATCAAAATTCTATTTTAAATTTTCTTAAAAATATACAATATTGCACTTTTATTTTTGGCAGCTTAACTGAGGAATGAATGAGTACAAAATAATCATACAAGAAACTACAATTTTTATTTTGCTTTATAATAAGCAAAGAGCTTTGTGTAAAAGCAAAACTTACAGTAGTGCCAAATAAATCAAATATTTACAGTGTAGATATTAAAGTCTTACATCTAAAGGAAGATTCAGTGTATTGGATATAAATATTATTAATGTAAGAAAAGCACACTGCCACCCCCGCTGCCCAATTCTGAACATATTTAAGCCAAAGAGTATTGGTGAGAAATGCTTTCGTGATTTCTTTCTCAAGACAAACATGGAAGGGATGCTTGTCTTGCAGCATCTAAAGTGGGTCATTAAACTTTTACAAGAATGTTTCCCACATAACTTAAAAATACCTCTACTCTAATCCAAGAATCAGAATGCCAAGGTAAGCTTATTTTAATTTTTAAAAGTTCTTCTGTAGTTAATTCTCTTTTTTAAAAAAAAATAAAATAGAAATGAGGTGTCACCATATTGCCCAGGCTGGTCTTGAACTCCTGGGCTCAAGTGATCCTCCTGCCTCAGCCTCCCAAAGTGCTGGGATTTTATAGGCATGAGCCACCATGCCAGCCAGTTATTCTCCTTTACTTTTATAAGCCTATAAGTTAGTTGGTAGGTTACGATTTTAAGATGTGTTTCCTGTACTTTTTCTAAGATATATTGAATTGGATACTGAATACACATCCGTCTGATTTTTAACTTTTGTTACATTGTAATAAAACTCTATACATTTATGTTGACTCACAATTTGTTTTTATTTTATTTTATTTTTTAACAGGGTCGCGCTCTGGCACCCAGGCTGAAGTGCAGTGGCACGATTTGAATTCACTGCAACCTCCCAAGCCATCCTCCCACTTCAGCCTCCAGAGTAGCAGGGACTAAAGACACCTGCCACCATGTCTGGCTAATTTTTGTATTTTTTGTAGAGGTAGGGTTTCACCATGTTGCCCAGGCTGGTCTCCAACTCCTGAGCTAAAATAATCTGCCTGCCCCAGCCTCCTAGGGTGCTGGGATTATAGGCATGAGCCACCATGCGTGGCCTGTTATTTTACTTTTTAATTCCCAATTAGGCAAATACTCTAGAAAGCTCAATTTTTTATTTTACTTAACCCTTTAGGAAAAGAGCTTTGAAATACCTATTTGCAAAAGCAAATACAAAGACTTAGAATGACTTAATAGCATACTAAACATTCAAAAGATGAATAGAACATAAATAGAATATATTTGTAATATGAATATATGACAGAGAGATATTCGTTTTTGGTACCACCTTAAAAAATCCAGCAGTACATTTTATTACCTTTCAGATCTTTGGGAATACGTACTTAAAATTCCAAACGATTAAACTTTTTCTTATCCTTCTGAGGAAAAATAATCCACAAAGTTGAACTGGTCTTTCAAAAAAATAATTTCCTTTGTTACTTCTTAAATGATCTGCAGAATAAAGTTACTCCAAGTGTTAACTACCAGCCAATGCATTAATTATGCTTTTACATTTTAATCATACCACGAACCAAATATTTCAAACAGTGATTTATCATGGAAGAATACAATTTCTTCTTAAACAACCATGTACCAATTGCATAGTTTTGATGTGATAACAAAAATCATAGTAGAGAGTTACAAAGGTATTAATAAATGTTAGCTGAACTGAAATTGACTGTTAAAAACAGTCTATCTTGGGTAGATGTTAGTGTAAACTTAGAGGGAAAAAACAGTCAATTGCAAAAAGTTTTCTTTAAAAATAGGTTAATGCTAAGAATAATAGCTTTTAAATTTTGTTTAAAAATAAACTTACTAAACAATATAAATTTTAATCAAAACAGCTCTTTTAAAATGCCCTATTTTTCTTGCATGTAGCAGAAAATATTTTTTCATAATTTTCATCATTACATGTAAAAATGAGGCACTAGTTATACATATTTGAATATATCCACACAAATAGAAGCTTCAGTCCCATCTATAGACTTATTTTGCTCCATGGTTTCTGAATGGCAAACTGTTCACAAAAATAAGTCTTCTGAAGGAGGTGCATAAGAGAAACCAACAAATGCATCATCTGCCTCCAATACACTGGCATTCACTATAGAATAGTCAGAAGATACACACACAGAATATGGAACTGTTTCTTCCGTAAATGCTGTGTCAAAGTTTCTGATATCATCTGGTCCAGCCTAAAATATCAAAAGCACAGTATTATTCATCTTAGCTTTTCTTTCATGAATTTAATCCTTTTTTTTTTTCTTTTTTGAGAGGAGTCTTGCACTGTCATCCAGGCTGGAGTGTCAGTGGGCTCACTGCAATCTCTGCCCCCCAGGTTCAAGCGATTGTCTTGCCTCAGCCTCCCACAGTAGCTGGGATTACAGGCACCATCCACGACACCCAGCTAACTTTTTGTGTTTTTAGTAGAGACGGGGTTTCACCATGTTGGTCAGGCTGGTCTCGAACTCCTCACCTTGGCCTTCCAAAGTGCTGGGATTACAGGTGTGAGCCACTACACCTAGACCAATTTAGTCCTTTATGAATTTGTGTGTTTATTCCTGGCAAGGTTAGATGTCTTCCTAATTCATTCCTTTGAAACACTTTTCTGCTTCTCCTTTCTTGACTTTTATTATTTAGGTGACATTATCTGTCCTTCTAAAACAGGGGTGACCAATCTTTTGGCTTCCCTGGGCCACACTGGAAGAAGATTGTCTTCGGCCACACTCACTAACATGAACAATAGCTGATGAGCTAAAAAACAAACAAACAAACAAACAAGGCCGGGCGTGGTGGCTCACGCCTGTAATCCAAGCACTTTGGAGGCCAAGGCAGGTGGATCACCTGAGGTCGGGAGTTCAAGACCAGCCTGACCAACATGGTGAAACCCCATCTTTAAAAAACAAACAAAAAAATCTCATAATGTTTTAAAGAAAGTTTAAGAATTTGTGTTGGGCCACCACATTCAAAGCCATCCTGTGCCCCATGCGGCCCACAGACCGTGGTTTGAACAAGCTTGTTCTAACAGTTAAGGTTCTTTTTGAGTTGGGGGAGGAGAGAGAACAGTAAGGACGGCTTACAAACAGAGATTCATTGCTCATTTAAATCTCAAGACTTTTCACTGATCCCCTTCCTCTCAACCCATCACTGTCTCATTACACCTAAGTTCAGGAAAAGGTCTCAGGTAGGTTTTCAGGATAGCATTCTGTAGTTGAGTTTCCATAAAATGCCTGTCCATCTGGTCTCTCAATTCTAGGTGGGTCTGATGAAGAAACGAAGCAGTTATCAGTAAAATTATAATTTGTTTTGTTATCAGTTATTAGGTTCTTGGTTATAAGAAAGGCAGTGGTTCTTAACTTTCCTTTATAAATCTGATGCAAGCTAATAGACTCTACCTTTCCTATTATCTCACTTTCACCAGGCTGTAGCTCACTGCAACTTCGACCTCCTGGGCTCAAGGGATCATCCTACCTAAACCTTCCACCAGTAGCTGGGACCACAGGCATGTGTCACTATACCTGGCTTTTTATTTTTAGTAGAGTCAAGTTCTCACCATGTTGTCCAGGCTGGTCTTGAACTCCCAAACTTGAGCAATCCTCCCATCTCAGCCTCCCAAAGTGTTGGGATTACATCTGTGATTATGGCTGGAATTACATCCATGAGCCACCATTCTCAGACCCAATATATTTATAGATCAAAACGGATACAAATTCAGGTGATTTATTCTTAAAGTCCATTCCTGAATTTCTAGGTTATTTCTGCTCTACAGGGAAGGGAATCCTTAAAATCAAGTCTAACGGAGGGTGCACTGATAGAAATTCAGTGCAGTTATTATAATCAAAGGATCATAGCCTGGTACATCCACAAACTGAGCAGAGACCACAAAAATCCAGAAAGCTAGATCCTCCCATATGAGAAAATCCCCCCCACTCCCTGCCGAGGGACAAAGAGTGCTAGAAATTTTATGTGTATGTATGTATATATGTATTTTTTTTCCTCATCACATTCTCATACACAATTCTTGAAGCATGGGTTCTTGAACTCTGGCTACAAAACTTGCTAGCTGTGATTATTATTATTTTTGAGACAGAGTCTTGCTCTGTTGCCCAGGCTGGAGTGCAGTAGCGTGATCTGGTTTCACTCAAACCTCCACTTCTTGGATTCAAGCAATTCTCGTGCCTCAGACTTCTGAGTAGCTGGGACTACAGATATGTGCCACCACGCCTGGCTAATTTTTCTATTTCTAGTAGAGACAGGGTTTCACCATGTTGGCTAGGCTGGTCTCGAAGTCCTGACCTCAGTGATATGCTCACCTCAGCCTCCCAAAGTGCTGGGATTACAGGTGTGTAATTCATTATATAAACTACTCTGTCTCTATGAGCTTGTTTCTTCTTCCATAAAGTAAGGATACTATCACCTACCTCCTCAGATTGTTGCAAGGATCTGATGTGTTAATAAATAAAATTCCCAGAATCTAACATGTAGAAGGTACTCAATAAATGATGGCAATGTTCTCTGACTTGCCTTTATAATCCCCTCATGGCTCATGGCTGGTACCAACAGGAATAATACAGGCTGAGCATCCCAAATCTGAAAATCCAAAATCAAAATGCTCCAAAATCCAAAAATTTTGAGCATCTATATGACACTCGTTGGAACATTTTGAATTTCAGATTTTCAGATTTGAGATGCTCAATCAGTAAGTAAATTCCAAAATCCAAAACACAATCCCAAATCCAAAACACATCTGGTCCCAAACATTTCAGAAAAGGATACTCAACCTGTACTATGTGGTTTTTTAAGAGTGAAGGCTCTGCCTTCAAAGTATCTGAGTTCAAATTCTAGTTCTGCAACTTTAACTTAATTTTGAGAAAAGTTATTTAATTTTTTCTGTGCCTCAGTTAACTCATCCATATATATGGAAAATAATAGTACTATCTCATAGGATGTTGTCAGGATTTAGTAAAAGGATACATGTAAAGTATTGAGAACACTGTATGTGAAGACCTACTTCATCAAACCCTAGAATAGCTAACTTTTTGATCTTTGTTAATCTGTCCGGTGAAAAATAGTAATCTGTTATGGTTTAATATTGCACTTCCTCAACCGTCAGTGAGTATGAACTTCTTTTCATATAATTAAAACCTAGTTGTATTTCTTTTTCTGTAACTGCATATTTTGTGTTTATATTGGTTTTGTCCATGTTTATATTGGTTGTTGGTATGTCTTCCCACTGACTAGTAAGAATGCTTTAGGTGTTGAAAATTTCCCCAGTTTGTTATTTGCTTGTAGCATTTTTTATGCAGATACTTCTAAGTTTTACGTAGTCAGTGCTCGCATCAGCAGCACATATACTAAAATTATATGTAGTCAAATCTACCAACTTTTCTCTCTTATGGCTTCTGGGTTGTGGGTCATGCTTTAAAAAGCATTTTTCACTTAAAGATTATACACAAAAATATTATCTTAGGTCTTGCAAGGGTTACTTTTAGGTGCATGGTGTAATGACTCTGGAGTCAGACATACCTAGGTTTTTTGTTTTGTTTTTGAGACAAGGTCTCACTCTGTCACCCAGGCTGGAGTGCAATGCCATGATCACGGTTCACTGCAGACAACCTCCCCGGGCTCAGTTGATCTTCCTGCCTCAGCCCCCGAATACTTGGGACTACAGGTGTGCACCACCATACCCAGCTAATTTTTGCATTTTTTTTTTTGGTAGAGACAGGGTTTTGCCATGCTGCTCAGGTTGGTCTTGAACTCCTGGGCTCAAGCAATCCACCTGCCCCAGCCTCCCAAAGTAGTGAAATTACAGGTGTGAGCCACTGTGTCTGGTCCATACCCAGGTTTTAATTCTTTAGAGGGTTTGGGAACCAAGGCAATGCATCAAGGATCTAACACAATGCTGGGTACATAGCAGGCAGTGCTCTAGAAGTTAATTCCTTTTCTCCCCACCTCTACTTGGAAATGTATAGCATAAATACATCCTGCTACTAATATGTACCCTCAATGCAATCTGTCCTTTCCAGACCCCTGTATTTTCATAGTAATCCCTTTCTACCACACACAATCCATTATCATTGAACTAATTTAAAAAACCATTAATAAGAGGGATTCATCGACCCAGAAATGAATATTTTAGAATTGTTAGAATGGTGCCCACCTCTCAGATGTGGCTTCTGAATGACCCACTTGGAGCTTGGACAAGCCACTGTTATCAGAGTTCAATACCACATCGACTTGCTTCAGGGCAGGGCTATGCTACACTTCACTGTTTTGTTTTGTTTTTTTGAGACGGAGTCTTGCCCAGGCTGTAGTGCAGTGGCACGATCTTGGCTCACGGCATCCTCTGCTGCCCAGGTTCAAGCGGTTCCCCCTGCCTCAGCCTCCTGAGTAGCTGGGACTACAGGCACACACCACTGCATCAGGCTAATTTTTTTGTATTTTTAGTAGAGATGGGGCTTCACCATGTTGACCAGGATGGTCTCAATCTCTTGACCTCACGATCCCCTCACCTCAGCCTCCCAAAGTGCTGGGATTACAGGCGTGAGCCACCATGCCCAGCCTCTATGCTACACTTTTACTTTAAGGATTATTTGGGGAAACCCTCTAATTTGAAATGTTGGTGAGCCCTCTTCCACCAAGCAGTCAATTTTATTTTCATAGTTTTTCAAAATTTTACATGTAATACACAGAAATTCCTAAAGTAGGGACTGAGGCTACAGAACTGTAAACTATTAGCTATGCAGAATAGTCAATATTTCAAAAAGGTAGTAAAAAACCTGAGGAAGTTATATTCCAAGAGCTGCCAAAATGAAAGCAGCAACAAAGTAAGTTTTTCTGAGGATTAAAGTGGAGGCAAGGATCAAAGTCTGGATGTACCCAACACAGAATGATATGTTAGGAGATGCTTCACAGTAACTTAGAGAATTTCAGATGGAGTGTCAATGAAATCATATCTGCATATGGCTTATTTTGGAGGGACTTGTTTTGTATTGGTTGTTCTGAAATGGTATAATTAGAAACAAATCTTTCAAAGTATCAAAAGCTACTTGCTGATAAATTTTATAGTAAAAAATGTTTAAAATACACTAATGTACCTATTCATATTAGCCCATTTTAGGTCACTGCTATTATCCTTTCTCTATCAGCTGCTGAGAGAATAAAATTAAGCAACCAATTCTTATTAGGATAAATTAAATATTTGGCAGCATAACCTCAATTTTGTGGGCTAAAAAAAAAAAAAAAAAAAAATTCCAGAATGCATTTTACCCATTGTAAACATGGAAAAAAAACTGCTTCCAGTCTTTTTTTAATACAGATTAGTTGGGCACATATAATTGAAGTAAATAGTTTATGCAACCTGTTAGATTTTGAAATAATTCCCACTAACTGCTAGAAACATTCAAAATAAAAATGTTGAAGCTTGGCATGGTCAATAACCCCACACTCCCTTTTCCTAGTAACTAGCCTTATTAAAATATGCAACACTAATCAGACTGAAAATCAGCTAATTCATTTTATTCATGGAAAGAGTAGGCATCAAAGATAATTTCTGTCAACTGTTTATTCTCCCACAGATATAATCATAAATTATTATGAGCATCTGGTTTTTTTGCATCACATTACACATTTATGAATTAATTACACATTACACATATATATGAGTTAATAGTATAAAGCTTATCTTTAATGTTCTTTAAATTAATTATGTTTAATTTGCTTTTAACAAATTATCTTTAGGTGAAACATTTCCATCAATAGATTTAACAAGTCTAGCTAACATGAACATGTTATAATACTATCCTATTGTTTTCCCAAAAAAGTAACAATTTACATTAATATGTTTATATTAAAAATGACCTGCTTTTTTTTAAATTTTATTTTGAGACAGAGTCTCGCTCTGTCACCCAGGTTGGAGTGCAGTGGTACATTTTCGGCTCACTGCAACCACCACCTCCAAGGTCCAAGTGATTCTCGTGCTTCACCCTCCTTAGTAGCTTGAATTACAGGCATGCATCACCACAGTTGGATAATGTTTTTTGTATTTTTAGTAGAGACAGGGTTCTCCCATGTTGGCCAGGCTGGTCAAGACTCCTGGCCTCAAGTGATCCATCTGCCTCAGCCTCCCAAAGTGCTGGGAGTGGTCTGCCTGCCTCAGCCTCCCAAAGTGCTGGGATTATAGGCATGTGCCGCCATGCCTGGCCGACTTATTGAGTTTATTCTTTCTTATACATGCTCCAAAGAAACACTTTACAATTACTGTGCTGGAAGATATTTTTATCAACCTAATCTAACTATAATCTTACTGGTCTCCCTGAAGTTATTAGTTATACTAGACAATCCTGAGTAATATATTTCACAAATATTTAGGTAATGACTCCATTTAATTCAGGTTAGATTCTGAGATCTAGTTTCAAAATTATTATGAACTGCTATTCTGTTTCACTATTTTAGAACGAAAGATTTGGATATATACTTACCACATTAGGATTAAATGGTGGTGGAATCTTCTTTTGTACAAGGTCAGCCCAGCTGAGTGATTCAAAAAAAGGATGATTCTGAATTTCAAGCTGGAATATTAAAAATATATATATTTTTACTAATGCTGAAGAATATATTAAGTACTAACTGTGTAATTTTATGAAGCCAAACTATTACTATTTTGCCCCTCAATAATGCTTTTTAGGAACATGTTTATGTTATTTGTGTAGCAAAATAGCAATAGAAAGACTATCAAAATAGACTAAACGTTACTTAGAATGATCTACTTAAACTTAAATTATATTCTTTTCAGAGTCACAATTTCCTCAGTGGTAAAGTGGGGATAACGTTTCTGCCCTAAATACTTCAAGAGAAGTATGTTCTAAGGATCAGTGTAAAGTATGGAAGTGCTATGAAAAGAATGAAGCAGTATAGAGGTACAAAGAGTTAGTGTTATCACTGGAGTGGGGGTAAAGAAATTGGGCAGAGATCTTTATACAGTGGAGAAGTAAAATCAGTTATGAGTTCTACTAATAAAAAAAAAATCCCACTTAGGGTTGGTATTACCAAACATTGGCACAGTACTGACTCTAGGTTTTTTCCTGCAAGGTGCCATGGGAGTATATAAAGAAGGATCCAACCTAATCTGGTGGGTTAAAAAAGACTTCTTAGAGAAAGTGATATCTGACCAGAGGTCTGAAAGATGAGTAATTAAGCTAGACAAAAGAATGGGGAAAGCATGTTCCAGAAAGGCTCTGAGATACTAAAGAGGTTAGTATGGTCAAGAAAATGAGAGTTCAATATGGCTGCAATGTGGGGAAGGATGGGACTGTCACACAAGGTGAAGCTGAAGAGCTAAACTGCCCGTATCATATCAGGTCTACATTTAACATTTTGGATTTTGCTCTAGGGTCCTAAGAAGCCATCAAGGGGATTTAGTTATGAGAATGTCACAACTGTTTTGTTTTTTAAAGCATCAGGTTGGTGAGAAATGTTTTTTTGTTTTTTTGACCACCACTCTGGGCAAGGCACAGTGGCTCATACCTATAATCCCAGCATTTTGGGAGGCCGAAGTGAGAGGATCACTTGAACCCAGGACTTCAAACCCAACCTGGGTATTACAGTCAGACTCCCATCTCCACAAAAATTAGCCTGGTGTGGTGGCACACGCCTGTAATCCAGCTACTTAGGGACTGAGGTGGGAGGATCACTTGAACGTGTGAAGTTGAGGCTGCAGTGAGCCATGATCACACCACTGCACTCCAGCCCCAGCCTTGGTGACAGAGCAAAACCCTGTTTCAAAAAAAAAAAAAAAAGAAAGAAAGAAAGAAAAGAAAGAAAGAAATACCCCAAAACACGACCCTGGCTACAAGAAGAAATAGATTGAAGAGTCAAGGGCCAGATAAAGGAAAAATAGCTACCATTGTAACCAGACTAAAAATAACTAACAGTAGGAAAAGAGTAGAAGCAGTGGGGCCAAAAAGAAATGTCTGGATATGGAAAGATTTAGGCAGCAAACTTAACAGGACCTGGCTGTTTGTTGAATATGGAAGGAAGGAAGAGACAAGAATCAAGAATGCCTCTCAGATTTCTGGCCTGAATAGCAACATGGACAGTGATGTCCTTTAATATGAAAGGGAGCACAGGGGGACAATAGCCACGCTTGAGGTACTCTCAAGAACTCCAAGTGTGGTGTTGAGCAGGCAGGTACTGTGTAAGTCTAGAGTTTAGAAGAGAGGGTTGAAGAGTACAAGATATAAATGTGTGAGATGAAAACCTGTAGATAACCAAAGCCATGGGACCAATTGGGATTGCCCCAGAAGACAGCAAAGAAGAAGAAAAGGTTTAGAACAATGACAGGGCACGGCAACACTTGAAGGCTGAAAATGAGCATACACAAGAGATTATGGAGAACAGTCCAGAAATGCAGAAAGGAGAGCATGAGACGAGATGGGTGTGTGCTCCTACAGAAGCCTATGGAACAGAAGAGGGCTGCAAGTTTAAATGCTGCTGTGGGCAGCATAAGTTGAGGAAAGAAAGTATCCAGCAATTCTACTGGCTATTTTGTGGTAGACTGAGAAATGAAAGAGCCTGGGAAAGGGAGACTGAACAAAGAAAACTTTCAACAAGTTTGGCGAAGAAGGGAAGAAGATAGAGTAGTACCTTGCAGGAGAGTATGACCGAGGGTTTTTTTGGCTTAAGAAGCAACAGATTTGATAGCGTTTAATTACTGACTGGAAGAAACCAGAAAAAAAGAGAGCAGTTATTTATGCAAAACAAACAAACATGGACAGGATTCCTTACAAATGGACAGGATCCAGTGCACAGATGGAAACAGACCTTTTCCACTACAATAGGAAGAAGGAAATGACAGGATCCTACAGGTGTATATAGGTCTGTGGATTTGATAGCAGGAAACTGAGTTAGCTCCACTCTGATGATTCTATTTTCCTTACAAAACAGAAGGCAAGATCATCTGTTAAAAGTGAAGAAGATGAAAAGGAATCTGGGAAGTCTGGAGATAAGGTGTGAAACAGTTAATACACAGAAGAGAATAAGCTACATAGAGAAACAAGGAGTATTACCAGACAGTGGGGAAGCACAGACATGGTTCACAGTGCTTCCAATATGCCCAGTTTGTTACTTTCTTTAGCACTGTTCAGCAGCCCAGGAGATGACAGTTGGATTTATCTAGAGTTGCAATTTCTGTCAATGAATTCAATAAATGGACCAAGGGACAAGGAGGCATGCAATATTAGCAAGACTGGCTGGAACAATAGAAAGGAAGCTGTTGGCAGAGCTACCAGCTGAACTGGGAGTGTGGGGAAATGGAAGAAGAGTAGCAGCAAAGTCTTTTATTCACAGCTCAAGATTAATAAACAGCCTCCAAGAATATCCAAGAAAGCAATTTGAAAGTTCGTATTCCTCAATATTTTGTGCGTTTACTCACACGATAACATAATACTGGTAACAATACTACCAACTTAATTACCCTGAATTGAAACAAACATGCAGATTCCCTAATTATCTCAGGGAGGTCTCAACAAATTCTAAAAAAAAAAAAAGAGTGATTTAGTGTTCAAGGCAAAAGACATTACATCATGCAGACAGGAGGCACTTAACAAATTCCTGCTAAAGGAAATGATTTAGACCTTTAGGTAGTCCCAAACCCTCAACAAAAAGCTCACTAGTTGGTTAGTCTCTGTGTTATTATTTTATGAAAATGTTCGTGTTATTTAGCAATAAAAACAGCAAAAAAAAAGTTTATGTAGTAAAAATATGACACACAACACTTTTTAAAAAGAGGCAGAGGGGAATTTGTAATAAATGCAAATCAAGTAATAATAAAATGTGAAAGTGTATGTGGTGGACAGGGCGAAAGTGTATGTAAGAGAAAGTGCTTTTTATACACTTTTATATAAACACAGGTGAAAACTGTGGGGACAAGTATGCTTTTTTTCCATGTTGCTATTCGCCACACGTTGTATTCATTCCATTAAATACCATATAAAATAAAGCTTTATTTCCACATTTTCAATAAGCTTAAATAAAGCTGGAGCTTGGAAAGCTGTTACGTACAAAGTCTTCCTTGGCACCAAGTCGATTTTGCCTGTCTTTTTCTAGGAGTTCTTCCAGAATGGACCAGGCTGTAAGGCTTACTCCTGGCCTCAAACTTAGAGGTTTGTGAAGGATATTGTCATACATCTCAGCAACGTCTCGGCAATAAAAAGGAGGCTGGGGAAAAAAAAGCAAAATAAACGTAGTGGTAACCAAATATGCGAAAATGGGGTTAAAATGGCTTTCACCTTGAGGGAGCAGTCAGTTAAGAAATGTATGGTCCTCTTGGTATGTGTAGATATCTGCTGTGCGGTTTCCTGAAGCAAAGAGATTCTAAAACCCAGTACGCAACACAGAGCTTACTTAATAAGCATTAACCGAATAAATTAGGGCCAGTTTGTTCAATAGCACCTTGTAGACAGCTGTTAAATTATATACAACTTGTAATAGTATCTGTTTTAGACAAAACCATCAACCTTATCGTAGGCATGATGACAGAATCGTTGGAAATGGAAGTTTAAGACAGATCAAACATTAATTTGAGGCTTGGGAATAAACTCACTAAAACAAAGAGATTTCTAGTGGATATGGAGGCCTGAAGATAATGCTCCTTAGTTACTTATGACGGAGATAATATTATGACTGTACTTTGCAGAATTAAAAATGCCACTGTGACAGCCAGGACTTGGGGTATAGCTAAAACACAAGCATTAGCTAGTTAATCATCTAATTAAAAGGTTTAAAGTAAAAAAGTCCAGGCATGATGGCTCACGCCTGTAATTCCAGCACTTTGGGGGACCAAGGTAGGCAGATCACTTGAGGCCAGGAATTCAAGACCAGCCTGGGCAATACGGTGAAACCCTATCTCTACTAAAAATATAAAAAACTAGCCAGGCATAGTGGTGCACACCAGTAATCCCATCTACTCAGGGGGCTGAGGCACAAGAATCAGTTGAACCTGGGAGGTGGAAGTTGCAGTGAGCTGAGATTGCGCCACTGCACTCCAGCCTTCACAACAGAGCAAGACTCTGTCTCAAATAAGTAAATACATAAAGTAACAACTTTTAAGAGAAAAGATGAGCTGTACAGGTTTCTGTAGTCTAGGAATGAGAGGGAGGAAGATTATCATGCTACTCATATTCTATTTGCAAGGCTGTAATATGTAACCTTCAAAACTATTTCCTTTTAAATTAATGTATTCAGAGCACCAGAAACATTTTTCCAAAGAGAGAATTACTATATAAAATGTTACTTTTTTTTTTTTCCAAAAACCAATAACAATTTATTAACCAGAGGACTGGTCTCTAATATTTTACCAGTGGGTTTGTTTTTACCTTTTACATATTAGTTACTAGTATTTTTATAAAATAAAATGAATCTGATCTAAAACATTAAATTTTTCTTTTCACTCTCCTTTGGTAAAAATTAGAAAAGTAATATATGCTTATTGTAACAAATACAAACAATACAGAAGTTTATAAAATAAAAAGTGAGGCCAGGCACAGTTGATGACACCAGAAATCCCAGCACTTTGGAAGGCAGAGGCAGGCGGATCACTAAAACTCAGGAGCTCAAGACCAACGACGGCAACATGGAGGCACCCTGTCTCTACTAAAAATATATATAAATAAATAAATAAATAAATAAATAAGCAAGCAAGCCAGCCAGCCAGCCAGCCAGCCAGGTGGGGTGGTACAGGCCTGTAGCCCTAGCTACTCAGCAGAGCATCAGAGCCTGGTAAATCAAGGCTGCAGTGAGCTGTGATCGCTCTATCGTACTTAAACCAGAGCAACACAGTGAGACCGTCTCAAAAAAAAAAAAAAAGTAAAAATAAAAACTCAAGTATACGTAATTTATTTTTTAAACTTTTTTTTTTTTTTTTGAGATGGAGTCTTACTCAGCTGCCCAGGCTGAAGTGTGCAGTGGCATGATCTCCACTCACTAAAACCTCTGCCTCCTGGGTTCAAGTAATTCTCCTGTCTAAGCCTCCCAAGTATCTGGGATTACAGGCGCATGCCACTATGCCTGGCTAATTTTTATATTTTTAGTAGAGAAGGGGTTTCACCATCTTGGCCAGGCTGGTCTTAAACTCCTGACCTAAGGTGATCTACCCACCTTGGCCTCCCAAAGTGCTAGGATTACAGCTGTGAGCCACTGCACCCCGCCAAAATATCTTAATTTTTAAATAGTCAATAAAAGTTTCATTATGTTTTAAATGTTTTCTTTTGAATCAACTGCATTTTACATATGATGATATATTTTCAAAGTCCTCTAAATAAATTCAAAGGATTCTAAAATATCAAGATGGCACATAAACAGTGCTTAAAGGGAAATCAGGTATAAAGTCGTTTTCCAATGTTCTAAGTCAGCAGCATAACCAGAAAACTTGATCTTTTAACATGCAGGTCACAGTCAAGGGCAAAGAAGAGACAGTGTTGGCTTTCACAGGAATCCATCATTCGACACTAGCAAGGTGAAACAAATGCTCTGAAAGGTACTTTGTGTGCTGAATTTCACTAAAAGCTCCAGTTTTCAATAAAAAGCAAACAGACACTCAACTCAGGTCTTGGCTGACAGTGGCATTTTTCATCAGCGGTAGTAGCATCCTCAGGGATTTGAACATGGTTCCCAACATGAGGCTGCTGGACACTTAGAGGACCACAAATGGAGTCTAGAAACCATTCTAAATTTGTCAAAAAGCCCACAGAAAAACATACATTTACTCTTATAAAGATATTTGAGCTAATTAAAATGCCTACACTGTTTACTTTGGGTTGGAACAATATTAACTCAATGTAGTGCTAAAACTTTATTCTTGTTAATCAGAAGCTCTGGACAGCCTACGTGTCTTTAACCCTCGTAAGAACTGGGCAAACTGACGACATAAACATCATTTTTCTTTTTTTTTTTTTTTTTTGAGACAGAGTCTTGTTCTGTCGCCAGGCTAGAATGCAGTGGTGCAATCTTGGCTCACTGCAACCTCTGCCTCCTGGCTTCAAGCGATTCTCCTGCCTTAGCCTCCTCAATAGCTGGGACTACAGGTGCCCACCACCATGCCCAGCTAATTTTTGTATTTTTAGTAGAGACGGGGTTTCCCCATGTTAGCCAGGATGGTCTCGATCTCTTGACAGTGTGATCTGCCCGCCTTGGCCTCCCAAAGTGCTGGGATTACAGGTGTGAGCCATCATACCTGGCCAAATATCACATTTTTTCAAGAAAATCTTTAAGACATCGTGTTTTCAGGGAAAGGAATAGAGAGTGATCTCCAATGATGGGAAGAACTGAGCACCAATGTATTAATGAAATCTTATAAAAACAATAGGCAAAAACCAAATTTATTGATAAATGCAAAAATCTTTTTCTGTCCATTTTCTTTTCTTTTTTTTTTTTGAGACGGAGTTTCGCTCTTGTTACCCAGGCTGGAGTGCAATGGCGCATCTCGGCTCACCACAACCTCCGCCTCCTGGGTTCAGGCAATTCTCCTGCCTCAGCCTCCTGAGTAGCTGGGATTACAGGCACGTGCCACCATGCCCAGCTAATTTTTTGTAGTTTTAGTAGAGACGGGGTTTCACCATGTTAACCAGGATGGTCTCGATCTCTTGACCTCGTGATCCACCCGCCTCGGCCTCCCACAGTGCTGGGATTACAGGCTTGAGCCACCGCGCCCGGCCTTCTGTCCATTTTCTTAAAATTAGAGTGATGTCTGGGTAAACTGAATGAAAACAGATAATTTTAATATTACAACTAGGTGTCTATTTCTAAAAATGCCGGGGGGGGGCCGCGGTGAGAACGCCTGAAGTGGTTATTAGTATGACAGAGAAATAATTATATTAACTTAAAAAAACTAGTAACAAAATAAAAAGCATTTCTTTTTGTCCTTCTTTTTTTTTGAAACAGTTTCCCTCTTTTGCCCAGGCTGGAGTACAGTGGTGCAATCTTCACTCACTGCAACCCCTGCCTCCTGGGTTCAAGCAATTCTTGGGCCTCTGCCTCCCAAGCACCTGGTAATACAGGTATACATCACCATACCCGGATAACTTTTTGTATTTTTAGTTGAGATGGGGTTTTGCCATGTTGCCCAGGCTGGTCTCGAATTCCTGGCGTCAAGTGATCCGCCCACCTTGGGCTCCCAAGATGTTGGAATTACAGGTGTGAGCCACGCCCAGCCTCTTTTTGTCCTTATTCCTAATGCAGTTGTTCATTTAACCAGGCTATTACTGTTCTGCTAGTGTCATCTAAGTGTCCATGAGATTCTTGGGGGAGAGATAGAGACAGAATCAAATCAAATACACTGGAATAATGAAGTATAGAAATACATACCAATCCATACAGCATTTCATATAGCACAGCACCAAGGCACCACCAATCCACGGTATTGTCATAGGGCTGTTTTCTAATTACTTCAGGTGCAAGGTACTATAGAAAAGAATAAAATATTAGATCAACTTGGTAACAAAATTTATAAATAATTGAGAAATTTAACAGATTTGAGGTGTTGCTGTCATACTAAAACCAAATTATCAAGATATTCAATGGGTCAGGTATTCTCATGCTACACCAGTGGTTCTTAGGTAATGTCAACCAGGATACTTCAAAATACATATATTCCGCATTTCTCCTTGGAAACTGTGATGCAGTTAAAAGAGTATAGCAAAGGTATATTCTATAATAGTAGGTAAAGTAGGTATTTGTGGAGAAAGTCTTTCAAATATTATTTTAGAAGTTCATTTGGTTATTATTCATGTTTTCCTCTTAAATAAATAATTTTTATTTTTGAGACAGGATCTTACTCTGTTGCCCAAGCCGGAATGCAGTGGCACAATCACAGCTCACTGAAGCCTTGACCTCCTGGGCTCCAGTGATACTCCCATCTGAGCCTCCCAAGATGCTGGGACTACAGGCATGTGCCATCACAGCTGGCTAGTTTTTTGTATTTTTCATAGAGATGGGGGTTTAGTCATGTTGCCCAGGCTGGTCTGGAACTGCTGGGCTCAAGCTATCTGCCTACATTCTTAATGTAGCAACTGTAATTTTTTTTTTTTTTTCAGTAAAAGAAAAAAGAATGAATTGCATTCTCATTTAAGAATTACAGTATTAATTGTCTAACATATTATTTGGAAAACTTATGTAAGTTGCAGATGTCTATTTATATTTTACTTTGTAGGAAATTTAGACTCATCACAACTTAACACAACTAAGACATGTCTTACAGCTAAGACAGTAAAACTGAATTTTACGTTCCAAAATATATTACCTCTTCACATATGAAATACATGTAAGAAAATAATTTCCTCATAAGCCTTTTTAAGTGACTTGAATAAATGGCAAAAATATATATATATATTTATATATATATTATATATTTATATATAATATATATCTTTATATAGTTATATATAGAATATATTATATATAGTTTATATGTTTATATATATTTATATATATAATATATATTATATATTATATATATTCTCTGTATATATTTTTTGAGACAGTATTTCGCTCTTGTTGCCCAGGCTGGAGAGCAAAGGCGCGATCTCGGCTCACTGCAACCTCCGCCTCCTGGGTTCACGCAATTCTCCCGAATGGCCTAATATTTTAACTATGAAATCAATAGACAATAACAAAAAATGTTTCTTCATACATACACCAAAACAGAATGGTTACAAATATATATAAGAGCTAGGGTTAGAAAGGAAAAAAGGAAAAGCACATTTCAAGGTAAATATTTGTTACTTAGAGATACGTTTAGTTAAGTTTCTGCACTCAATTAGAAGCCATTTTCTCACACATTTTCAACATTGTATTTTCAAGTACTCCATGACAAAGATAAAATATTACATGGTACCTGAAATCATTATAAATACCTTGGAATTAGAATAGTTTAAAATAAACTGAACTTATGTGTGTCAAGTAAGAATGATAAAGCTTTCACATGAATTATAAGGATTATTACTATTGTCACAAATACTTATTTTTGCTAGCTAACATTATTAGAAAATGGGATGTGGGATGTTCTAGTTAAATTCTTATTTGTGATTTTTTTTCCCCACATCCATTGCTTTCTTCTCTTCTGGTAAGTAAACAATTTTATTACAAAAGATTTCAAGCATATAAAAAAATTCAGAGAAACCAATAAACTACAACTGAGATACAGTCAAGTGTTAATATTTTGCCATATTTGCTTTAGCTTTTTTTCTTTTTTTTTTTTTG